ACATGGATTGCTAGGTCAAAGGGCATGTGCATTTTTTTTTTTGTGAGGAGATCAGCCCTGTGCTAACATCCGTCAATCCTCCTCTTTTTTTGCTGAGGAAGACGGCCCTGGGCTAACATCTGTGCCCATCTTCCTCCACTTTATATGGGACGCCGCCACAGCATGGCCTGCCAAGCAGTGTGTTGGTGCGCGCCCGGGATCCGAACCAGCGAACCCCGGGCCGCCGCAGCGGAGCGCGCGCACTTAACCGCTTGCGCCACTGGGCCGGCCCCTCGAATTTGTCCTTTTTAATGACTGAATACTATTCCATTGTATATATACCACATCTTCTTTATCCATTCATCAGTTGATGGGCCTTGGGTTGCTTCCACATCTGGGCTATTGTGAATAATGCTGCAATGAACATAGGGGTGCATAAATCTCTTTAATCGTTGATTTCATATTCTTTGGATAAATACCCAGCATTGGGATAGCTGGATCATACGGTATTTCTATTTTCAATTTTTTGTGAAGTCTCCATACTGTTTTCCATAGTGGCTGCACCAGATGGCACTTCCACCAGCAGAGTATAAGGGCTCCCTTTTCTCCACATCCTCTCCAACATTTGTTATTTTTTGTCGTGGTGATTATAGCCATTCTGACAGGTGTAAGGTGATATCTCATTATAGTTTTGATTTGCAGTTTCCTAATAATTAGTGATGTTGAACATCTTTTCATGTGCCTGTTGGCCATCTGTATATCTTCTTTGGAAAAATGTCTGTTCATATCCTCTGCCCATTTTTTGATCGGGTTATTTGTTTTTTTGTTGTTGTATGAGTTCTTTATATATTTTGGAAATTAACCCCTTGTCGGATATGTGATTTGCAAATATTTTCTCTCAGTTAGTGGGTTGTCTTTTTCTTTTGTTCATGGTTTCCTTTGCCTTGCAGAAGCTTTTTAGTCTGATGTAATCCCATTTGTTTATTTTTTGTTTTGTTTCCCTTAACTGAGGAGACATGGTATTCAAAAAGATGCTGCTAAGACTGATGTCAAAGACTGTACTACCTATATTTTCTTCTAGGAGTCTTATGGTTTCAGGTCTCACATTCAAGTCTTTAATCCATTTTGAGTTAATTTTTGTGTATGGTGTAACATAACGGTCTACTTTCATTCTTTTGCACGTGGCAGTCCGGTTTTCCCAGCACCATTTATTGAAGAGACTTTCCTTTCTCCACTGTATGTTCTTGGCTCCTTTGTCAAAGATTAGCTGTCCATAGATGTGTGGTTTTATTTCTGGGCTTTCCATTCTGTTCCATTGATCTGTGTGTCTGTTTTTGTGTCAGTACCATGCTGTTTTGATTACTATAGCTTTGTAGTATATTTTGAAGTGAGAGATTGTAATACCTCCAGCTTTGTTCTTTTTTCTCAGGATTGCTTTAGCTGTTTGGGGTTTTTTCTTGTTCCATATAAATTTTAGGATTCTTTGTTCTGTTTCCGTGAAGAATGTCATTGGGATTTTGATTGAGATTGCATTGAATCTGTAGATTGGTTTAGGTAATATGGACATTTTAACCATGTTTATTTTTCCAATCCGTGAGCATGGACTATCTTTCCATTTCTTTATGTCATCTTTGATTTCTTTCAATAATGTGTTATAGTTTTCAGTGTATAGATCTTTCACCTCTTTGGTTAAATTTATTCCTAGATATTTTATTCTTTTTGTTGCAATTGTAAATGGGATTGTATTCTTGAGTTCTCTTTCTGTTAGTTCGTTATTAGTGTATAGAAATGCAACTGATTTTTATAAGTTTATTTTGTACCCTGCAACTTTGCTGTAGTTGTTGATTATTTCTAGTAGTTTTCTGGTGGATTCTTTAGAATTTTCTATGTGTAGAATCATGTCATCCGCAAACAGCAAGAGTTTCACTTCTTCCTTTCCAATTTGGATCCCTTTTATTTCTTTTTCTTGCCTAATTGCTCTGGCCAAAACCTCCAGTACTGTGTTGAAAAGGAATGGTGAGAGTGGGCACCCTTGTCTTGTCCCTGTTCTCAGAGGGATGGCTTTCAGTTTTTCACTGTTAGGTATGATGTTGGCTGTGGGTTTGTCATATATGACCTCTGTTATGTTGAGGTACTTTCCTTCTATACCCATTTTGTTGAAAGTTATTATCATAAATGGGTGTTGGATCTTGTCAAATGCTCTCTCTGCATCTATTGAGATGATCATGTGATTTTTATCATTCATTTTGTTGATGTGGTGTATCACATTGATTAATTTATGGATGTTGAACCATCCCTGCATCCCTGGTATAAATCCCTCTTGATCATGGTGTATGATCCTTTAACTGTACTGCTGTATTCAGTTTGCCAATATTTTGTTGAGGATTTTTGCATCTATGTTCATCAGTGATATTGGCCTGTAATTTTGTGTGTGTGTGTTATCCTTGTCTGGTTTTGGTATCAGGGTAATGTTGGCCTCATAGAATGAGTTAGGAAGTGTTCTGCCTTCTTCAGTTTTTTGGAATAGTTTGAGAAGGACAGGAATTAAATCTGCTTTGAATGTTTGGTTGAAATCTCCAGAGAAGCCATCTGGTCCTGGACTTTTGTTTTTTTGGGAAGTTTTTGATTACTGTTTCAATCTCTTTACTTGTGATTAGTCTGTACAGATTCTCTATTTCTTCTTGATTCAGTGTTGGGAGGTTGTATGAGTCTAAGAATTTATCCATTTCTTCTAGGTTATCCAATGTGTTGGCATATAATTTTTCATAATATTTTCTTATAATCCTTTGTATTTCTGTGGTGCCTGTTGTAATTTCTCCCCTTTCATTTTTAATTTTATGCATTTGAGGCTTCTGTCTTTTTTTCTTAATCTGGCTAAGAGTTTGTCAGTTTTGTTTATCTTCTCAGAGAACCAGCTCTTAGTTTCATTGATCCTTTCTATTGTTTTTTTTAGTCTCTATTTCATTTATTTCTGCTCTAATTTTTATTGTTTCCCTTCTTCTACTGACTTGAGGCTTTGTTTGTTCTTCTTTTTCTAGTTCTGTTAGGTGTAGTTTAAGATTACTTATTTGAGATTTTTCTTTGTTGAGGTGGACCTGTATTGCTATAAATTTCCCTCTTAGCACTGCTTTTGCTGCATCCCATAAGAGTCGGTATGTTGTGTTTTCATTTTCATTTGTCTCCAGGTATTTTTTGATTTCTCCTTTTGATTTCTTCATTGATCCAGTGGTTATTCAGTAGTTTGTTGTTTAGTCTCCATTTTCGTGACTTTCCCAGCTTTTTTCTTGTTTATTTCTAGTTTCATAGCATTGTGATTGGAAAAGATACTTGATATGATTTCAGTCTTCTTAAATTTATTGAGGCTTGCCTTGTTTCCCAGCATATGGTCTATTTTTGAGAATGTTCCATGTGCACTTGAGAAGAATGTGTATTCTGCTGTTTTTGGATGGAATGTTCTATGTATATTTGTTAAGTCCATCTCGTCCAGTGTTTCATTTAAGTCTACTATTTCTTTATTGACTTTTTGTCTGGATGATCTATCCATTGAAATAAGTGGGGTGTTGAGGTCCCCTACTATTATTGTGTTGCTGTCGATTTCTCACTTTACGTCTGTTAATAGTTGTTTTATATACTTTGGTGCGACTGTGTTAGGTACATATGTATTTATAAGTGTTATGTCCTCTTGGTGGAATTATATGCTGCCCGTCCTTGTAGGTGACATCTTTTAAGTTCTTCTTTACTTTGAATTTTCAGTGTAAATATAGAAGTCTTAAATCCTATTGACATTAATGTTGTTATCACTCATATTTGATTATTTGTTACCTTCAACAAGAGATCTAAAAAGAGAATACTGAATAATATGAAAACAGAAGTGAAATATCCTTTTAGCATATATTTTAGCTAAACATAATATGTTTAGCATTTTATTAAAATGAAAAATCTATAGCATTAAACGGTGAAATTAAGTTCTGATGGAGCATTATTTTTGCAGCATTGATGGCCTGGTTAAGGTGGGCACACTGAAAAAACGACTTGATAAATTTAACGAAGTAGTAAGTGCACTGAAAGATGGAAAACCAGAGATGAATAAACAGATCAAGGACCTTGAAATTTCTATTGATGCTTTAATGGCCAAAATTAAGGTATGTAATTTTAACCCTAAGGACTTGGACATGTTTTATAATTTAATATCTTTTATTATTGGTATTGAAATTGCATAGAAAAATGTCCTTTTTTTTTTTTTTTTTTTGGTGAGCTAACATCCTAAGCCAATCCTCCTCTTTTTGCTGAGGATGATTGGCCCTGGGCTAACATCCTTGCCCATCTTCCTCTACTTTATATGTGGGACGGGACGCCACCACAGCACAGCTTGAGGAGTGGTGCATAGGTCTGCGCTTGGGGTCCAAACCTGCAAATCCGGGGCCGCCAAGGTGGAGCGTGGACTTAACCACTGTGCCTCTGGGCTGGCCCCCTGTCCTTATTTAAAATGTTACAAATGTTGAGTTTCAGTGATGGCAAGTGATGCTCCTTATATTATTCTCTCTCTGTTTGGAAATTTTAATAGCAAAAAAGTAAAAAAGATAATTTTTATTCAATTTCATCTGTTACTAGGAAGAGAAGATCCCCCCCCCCCAAATATTGACTAAAAGACTATACTCTATTAGTAAGGTTTTGCATAATCACTACTGAGAGAGGATTAATGCAAGTTATTTTAATTTGTTTCCTTTTTTCTACTTTCAGAAACCAATTTTTAAATTATGAAAGTGGTATTATTGAAAATTTGGAGAAAACCACCAAAAACCCTTAACCCCCCACACTGACATGTTCAACTACTATACTATTGCATATTCCCCTTCAAGTCTTACTTTATATGCATGTCTTTTTGGCATGGTGCTTACAATGTACATGTAATTTTGTATCCCCATTATATTGTATGCCTTGTCCCTTTTATTGCATTGTTTTTGCATTGTCTTCATATAGCTTTATCATAAATTACTTAACTGTTATGAAAATAGCAATTAATTTCCCCCAAATTTTGTAGGAAAAGAAATAGAGCCTCTTTTTTTTTTGTCTTGATTTTTCATTTATTTGATTACCACTGGAATTGAAATTTTTTTCTATATGCTTGTTTGTTAGTTATATTTTATCTATCTATTCATACCCTTTCTGTTAAAATTTAGAATCTTAATGTTTTTCTCATCTGGTTTCATAAGTCAGTGTAATTATGTGAGATATAATACCTTCAAGTGAGCCTTTTATCATATTTTCTGCAGATATTTTTTGTAGACAGTGTTAAATCTTGGTGCTAGAATGGAGAAAGAAGATCAAGAATGAGAGTGTTTTGGATAAACTTAGCTGATTTTGTAAATCTGTCAAGAGCCATCTCTGTTTATGTGGTATTATCAGTTAACATCAACCCAGCTGTGTTTTTTGAAGACTCAGGAAAATAATCCAACAATTTTGGATGTATTTAATAATTTCTTAAATATTCCTTTTGTACTATTTCACATTATTGTTAAAGAGTAGTAAACTCTGGCAAAATCATTCCTTAAAAAATAATTTTTAACTACAATATGTAACTTTGCCCACACCCTTGGATGTTTGATTACTTGATTGATAGGACATAGACTCAAATATCTGCGTGCAGAGATAACTTTTAAAATTTTTTGAATTTTATTTAATGTACAAACAATATAACAAAGATAACGGGCTTATTGCTTGCATGCTTTCCAGTCTTTGCTGTATATGTGCATATTAGTTTTTATTTATTTATTTATTTATTTATTTATTTTTGTGAGGAAGATCAGCTCTGAGCTAACATCCGTGCTCATCCTCCTCTTTTTGTTGAGGAAGACCCGCCCTGAGCCAACATCTATTGCCAATCTTCCTCCTCCCCCCCCGCCCCCAAAGCCCCAGTAGATAGCTGTACGTCATAGTTGCACATCCTTCTAGTTGCTGTATGTGGGACGCGGCCTCAGCATGGCCGGAGAAGCGGTGCGTCAGTGCACACCTGGGATCCGAACCCAGGCCGCCAGTAGCAGAGCGTGCACCCTTAACCGCTAAGCCACGGGCCGGCCCAATATTAGTATTTTTTTATTGTGGTAAAAGCACATAACATTAAATTTACCATCTCAACCATTTTTAAATGTACAGTTCAGTAGTGTTTGGTATACTCACATTGTTGGGCAACAAAAGTTAACTTTTTAAGTACATGTTTATCATTTTGTTTTTTAAGTCCACTATGATGACAAGGGAACAAATACAGAAAGAATATGATGCACTGGTTAAAAGCTCAGAGGAACTCCTCAGTGCATTACAGAAAAAAAAAAAGCAAGAAGAAGAAGCAGAAAGGCTGAGGCGTATTCAAGAAGAAATGGAAAAAGAAAGGAAAAGACGTGAAGAAGATGAACGACGTCGAAGAAAGGAAGAGGAGGAAAGGCGGATGTGAGGCGTTTATGTTGTTTTGAATTAGAAGCTAACAGAGTAGTGACTTCTTGGTACTGATGGTGGTTAATGACTATTGTTTTTTTTTAAGGTCATATTCTTATTTTAAAATACTAATTTTAGAATAAACTTGAAAATGGAGAAAATAAGCTCATTTTGTAATAACATGAAATGATTTTAACTATAATCTGAATTTTGGTTAGACTCTTACACCTGAGGATTTCTTAATTTCTTTTTAAAGCTATGACTTGCATATTATTTTATAAGCTGGAAAAAAGGCACTTCTAGTTTTCTGCAGTTTTAAAACTGATAGCATTTTGGAAGATTGCCGTAATAGGGTAGACAGAAGGAAGATAAGAGTTGTTTATTGGAGGGGTAGAGGGAAGCACATGTAGCCAGGACCTTACAACTATAACCAAGTTAGTCTATTAAATTTTATAACCAAGTTAATCTAGAGATGTTAAAGGTTATAGAATATAATCGTATTTGTTTTGTTGTAGAAGAATTACTGTTGGTAGAGTTAGATTTTATTTTTTTCAAAATAAGTTGATAATGTATATGGCCAGGAGGTTAATTTGAGTTCCCATTCTGTAACCTTTCTTTATGAATAATTAAATTGTCTTCTGAAAGATTCATTCTTTTTTATTAAATTTTTGAAGAGTTTTCTATTTTTTTGTTAGGAAACTTGAGATGGAAGCCAAGAGAAAACAAGAAGAAGAAGAGCGAAAGAAAAGGGAAGATGATGAAAAACGGATTCATGTATGTACTTATTAGACAAACTGAATTTCTATGAAAATAGAATCTACAAAATTACAAAACAAAAGAAATGAGAACAAGATCTTGATTTCTCGATAAGGTGTCAGTGGTTTATTCCAGAGATAAAAGGCAGTGTCTGAAGCGAGTATGGGAAAGGGACTTTGGATCTGGGGAAATGAGTTCAAGTCCAAGCTCTGTCACGGACAGAAATCGTGACCTTGCACAGGTCACTCTGAATGACTGTGGCTGCAGTTTTCTCTCTGTGGAATGGGGATAAGTAATAGCTGTGAGCATTAAACGAGTTAACGCCTGTTAAAGCATTTAGAACAGGGCCCAGTTCAATAAGTGTTAGTTTGTTGTTATTGTTATTATTAGACCTAGGGGAAAGTCAGATGAACATTCACTTAAAACATTATAGTGTTTTAAAATACTATTTTATACCCTTGTAGATATTAGTATTAGTAGGTTAGGATTAAGATACTCTCCCCACCCCCATTTTTTAAAAAGTCCGTGTCTGAGAATAGTTGATCATGAATTTGAGGTTCAGTTTGTCTTGGCTTTCGTAATTTATCCTGAGCACAGCCAGCACTCTCAGTTCCTGGCATCTGCTGTCTGGGTGTTGGTGTTAACGTGATACCTGGGATGCTCTGGTGATGTGTGGCTGCTCATACTGTAGTGATAGAATGGTGGAACTGTGGTTCCTCTGCTTCTCTTGGATTGGGAAAGAGAGGAAGCATTAATCAGAATACAGAAGAGAGGAGAGACTGAAGAGATTTCTGCTTAAACAATATATATTCCTTAGTAAAGAGCTTGTGTGGGAGAATTTTAAGTAGTACTGGAAACAATCAAGTGAACAACTGGGGAGACCTTGTTGAAGTGGCCTTCTGTCTGTGGCAGGCTGAAGTGGAGGCACAGCTGGCCCGACAGCGCGAGGAGGAGTCCCAGCAGCAGGCGGTCCTGGAGCAGGAGCGCCGCGACCGGGAGCTGGCCCTGCGGATCGCCCGGAGTGAAGCGGAACTCATCAGCGACGAGGCCCAGGCTGACCTTGCGCTCCGGAGGTACTGGGCTCGGGATGGGGCGGGGCGAGGCACTGTCTCCACTGTCTTTCCTCTTCTACTTCTCATTCAGTGTGAAGGGAATAGGAGGAAGTCATGTTCCTTAGGTCCTGATACATTTTTTTTTTTGAATTTTTTATTTATTTTTTATTCCCCCAGAGCCCCAGTAGGTAGTTGTATGTCATAGTTGCACATCCTTCTAGTTGCTGTATGTGGGACGCGGCCTCAGCATGGCTGGAGAAGCAGTGCGTCGGTGCGCACCCGGGATCCAAACCTGGGCCGCCAGCAGCGGAGCGCGCGCACTTAACCGCTAAGCCATGGGGCTGGCCCTGATCCTGATACATTTTAACTAAAATCATTTTAAAATTATTTGTATCCACTTTTATACCCAAGTGAATGAAACATTTGATTTCATCAAATTGTTCAACTTTTGAAAAATAAAACTCATATTTCAGTTCATGAGTACTTTGTTAAGAAAACATCTCAAGTTTTACTCTGAAATTGTCTAGAGTATTGTATAAAAGGTAGACATCTAATTTCTAAATACCTGCCATTAAATACCGGCGTAGAAATCAGTGCATATATTATAATCCAGTTTAATATATTTGAGGTTGGGATTTATTATTTTCCTAATGCAGTTTTTTTTTTCAGTATATCGTACCCCTAACACTTGGAATGAGGAGAAATTTTACACATCACTCCCCACCCCGAGCACCCTGTGTTTTAGAATAAATAGATTTTCTCTTTCCAAGAAAGAAAGTTAATCACATTGAAATATTTTGGCTCCTCGGGTTTCTGGATTGTCTCTAAATACTTTATTTTATTGGAGTGTGGAGGAATATGGAAGTTCTCATTAAAAGTTCAGGAAGGTTTTAATATAACAGATTCATTTTTTAGCAATTTAGGGGCCGGCCCAGTGGCGCAGCGGTTAAGTGCACGCTCCACTTCAGCAGCCTGGGGTTCGCAGGTTTGGATCCTGGCGTGCACCGATGCACTGCTTTTCAAGCCATGCTCTGGCGGCGTCCCATATAAAGTAGTGGAAGATGGGCATGGATGTTAGCCCAGGGCCAATCTTCCTCATCAAAAAAGAGGAAGATTGGCATCGGCTGTTAGCTCAGGGCTGATCTTCCTTGCAAAAAAAAAAAAAAAAATTGAGAATGCAAACATTTGTATTTTGAGTATTTTTAAAAAGAAAGCAAAACTAGTCTGTGGGGTTCCTTTTTTGTAGGTAAATATGTGGTATGTGTATTGAGAGGCATATAGATATACATAACCATGCTTTTCAGAATGTCAGAGCACTGTTTGTGACAAAATATAATTAAAACACAACCACTAGATGTTGCTATTTCCTTGTGAAAGGAAAAGAGTGAGTTCAAATTGCAAGGCAGTGATTAGATTTTATTTAGCTGAAAACAAAGATAGGGAAGGAAAAGGGTGTGTTAAGTTGCCTTCACACTTTTTCATGTAAGTAATTAGGGGAGGTCTGGGGTCTGAATCATATATGAAAGTATATTATATTAAAATAAATGAAATAGGCCTATCAAACACAAAGTATTATAATAATTGTTAAGCTTTTGGCTTTGAATCCTATATTTGGGCCTTTTGTTGACTTTTCACTATAATTAGAATATTTTCGCCTGGCTGTGGCTTTTGTAACTGCAGACTCAGCTCAGCTGCAGCTGTCCGTCCCTTCCACCTGCATTACGTTGGGACGACTGGGAGCCTTTATGCATGGCCGACTAGTGGCTGGGCCAGGCTCCTGAGCGAACAGGCTCTTAGAGCTGCTGTCCCTGATGTATGTGAAGAAGTACTGTAGTGGACAGAGCTGGCTTGATTATGGCTGAAGTTCATTTCTAAGGGACTCATTAATGGAGTCATTATTGGTATTCATGGCCAAGGTTTATGTTTAAGCATTGGAAATACCAAGCTATATCCAGTGTCATTCTGTATAATATGTGTAAGATACTGGCTCATATATGGACTCTTTCCTGTCCTTAGAAATGTGCACTTCCAAGGTGAGTGGACCATTTTAGGACTTTCAACATAAATGACAAGTTACCTGTGATTTTAAGTTAAGCAGAATTAAGTAGGTAATAGGACCACTACTGAGTAATTAGGAGATATTCAAGCACTTATGACTTGAAAGGCAGAGAGTTGGTTTTAGTTCTCCTGTGGGACATCCCTAGGGTGATGTCCCCTTCTCTGGAATGCCCCTTTAAGTCCTGTCTGTCAGCTGTCTTCCGGGACCCTCAGGTCCTTGAGAGCTCCTTCCCTTCTGAACCTCCTGGTTATTTTACACTCTGTACTATAAGCATTAGCACTTCACTGTGGATGATGTTCTATATAGATTTTCCATGTTTGATAATTTTATCTTACTCCATGGGCTGTAACTAAATGTTTTTGAATGTTTATTTTACCTTTGTTAGCGCTGAATTCTTGCTAACAAATTTATGAGTAAGAACTCTCTAAGTAACCCTGTTCTTAATATATAAGCATGAAAATGTTGTTTTTGGGTTCTGTGATGCATTAAAAATATGTGTAGATGGATTCTGCTGCAATAAACAATTTCAAGTCACTTTTCCAGCTTGGATTCCCATCCAGTAACTTCTAAGTAAGAATTGTTTTTCTACATATGTAGTATATTTTAAAATATGATCTCAATCAATTACACATATGATCCTTGATGCAAAGTGGTGATTTCACATTACCTAAAATTATAAAATAATATCCAAATTCTATTAAAAACCAGCAAATCTCACAATATATGAGTTTTCTAATCTAGATGTAATATATTTGCTCTTTAACTTTCATTGAATGCCTTTAATTTATTCTTTTCTAATTATTTTTAATAAAGATTTAAAAACATTAAAATTCTGAGTGATCTTATACATCGATTAAATAAAGATAATGGAGTTTTTTAAATCAATGCATAAAATCATTGAAACACAGATTTGGCACAATCCAGATTTTCACAATTCAGAATTGGTTATGATATTAATTAGAATATATTTTTTTCACAGCATTGATGGAGCAAGACCCAAAATGACACCGTATGTCATTTCCCATTTTAGAACTTGATTTCGTTATGTGACCTTTTTAAACATAGCTTGTGGATACTTTTGGGAGAAGTAGTTTCCTCATTGAAGCAAACTTTACATTATTTCCTTTTATTAGAAAGAATGAGATAACTCATTCTTTTTTCTTTCTTTTTTTTTGCCCGGGAAAAATGTTTAGTGCTCCTCTTTGGCACTTGATCACAGTGGTTTGATTTGGTTTTCTTCTTTGTGTTTTCTAACTTTGTTTCAACTTTAACTCCGATTTTGTTTTATGTAGTTTTAATTATCTCTTACTTATGTCTTTATAGAAGCAGATGTATAAATAAGATATTTAAAGTATTTGAGTCGTAGCAGATAGCTTAGTTTTCAGTATATATGATAGTTCATTCTACTAATAGCTAAAATAGCTCATAATCTGAGGTTATAGATGTAATGCTAATTTTGGAGCTACTGTATCTTTTTATTATGAAAACCTCTCCACAGAGAAATAATCTAAGTAACATTTGGGTATACATATAAAATATATTTGTATGTATATATACAATTATTTTATATATATAGTATACATATATATATAGTATACATATAAAGTATATGTATAGAGTACCAATATGTATACTTTATATATATTCAATTTTGGAATATATATAAAATCTGAATTTTAGCAGCTTTTAGGACCCAAACTATAACCTTTATAGTAATGGTTCTCAACTCTGTCCAACTCTAGTACCAATAACAAACGTTTTATAAATGATGCAATCTACATAAATAATTCTCTCCAAACAATACATGTAAAAGAAATAAAAGGACAATAATTTATAATAAAATACTATTTATTTTAATATGAAAGTGCTTGCTCACAACTATAGGAAAATATAATCAAGTACTTAGATGTTTTACTTGTACGTAGAATCACCGTTGAATGCGACAGCTACAAATGCAAATTGGTATAAGCATGTTATATCAGTCAGTTAAATATGCAATTGTGAACAGTATCTTGTAAAGTTCTCAACAGAGCTAAGTACAGTCTCCTCTCAAATATACAGTAGTTGGTATTCCTAGAAAAATTCTGTGAATATGGAAACCGTGCATAAAAAAAGTTGTTTTACATGTACACAAAGTTACATGTAAAACATCTCTGTATATGTGCATCTCACCTCTGTGTGTCTGGTGGACATGTTAAAGTCACGTGGGGCCTGGGGGAAGTTCTTCCTTGTGCAGGATGTCTGCACCCCTGACCCCTCACCTCGTCAAGTGCCATCAATGCACTCTTACAACATCGTTGTCACCACAATGCACCAAAAAATCTGAAAATGTCTCTGACCGGGAGCTATTGCCCTCCATTAGAACAGCTGCCTTATGGTTACCATTTGAGCTTGAATTTAAATAAGCCCTTCCACCTATGTCTAAGGTGAAATTGTGAGAATTTGCATATAGTTTGGGAAAATTAGAGGGAAAAAAGTACCTGGATGCAGGCACTATTTCTATTCAGTATGTTTGGTGTAGGTCCTGGAGCAGTAACATGGGGTCAGGTGGGATACTGAGTCAGTAGGGATTGACGGCCAGGATAGTGGCGGGGCATACAGAGAAATGTCTATATGATCAACAGACCATGTAGTAAAGAGCTTTGAAAGGCCGTGAATTCCCTTGAAGCCTACTGTGGGGAGAAGAAATGGAGGAAGCTTTAGGAGAAAGAGATGGTAATAGAAGTTTGAGGTAGGGTGATAATACAATTAAAAATATTTATCAAAATCATGCTGAGTTTGAAAGTTGGAAAATTCTGACTAGCCTAAAGAGAGATTGATAAATGTATTGCTCAAAAGATAATTTTTATTAGATTATATTTGTGGTTTTTACTTTGTGTTTATTGTCCTTGATCATCAGTTTTGAAAGATGACTTTTTCTCTGACTGTCTTGCCGGGCGGGACTCTGTCAGTATGGAATCTCAGCCCGTGTTCATCACGAGAGAAATGCAGGAGTCCTCTGCTCCTTCATCATCAGGGCCCCAGCTCTTGGCAAGCATCCAGGAAACTGTGCCCTGAAGCAAATATACCCATCTTCTCTTCCTATGATTTTTACTGATTTGTAAGATTTTGAGGTTACCAGAGTCTGATGAATAGAATGAGTGAGAAAATGATTAATTATGAAGGAAGAGAGCAAAGGACAGGAAAATAAAATAATGAAATTAACGAAGTGTTGATGAATACGATGAAATGTCCATCCCATTTCACAGAATTAAACAAATATTGAGAAAAGTTACACTCTCCTGGGTAATAAAAGAAATCTAAGTTTTTGCTTTTGGGAGATGTTTACCCTTGGAAGGTCACAACACTTCTGATCTTTAATTTAACAAGTACTTGGTGTATTTCAATTCTTTTTTTTTAAAGCATGCTCCGATTTAGACTTTTAGAGCTTCGAATACATCAGACTCTTATTCAAACTCTGACGCTGTAAAATAGATGAGCTTGGTTTACCACCATTATGCCTTATCTAATTAATATTTACTAAGCAACCCCAGTGCAAAAATCTTTGTATAGGTCTATATCCTGCCAAGTTTCCTTTATGTATTTAAAACATGCTGATTATGTTCTATACATGAAAAAATACCACAGAAGCATGGCTCTGATGAGATTTTATCTAAATTTTCTGCTGCAAAAATGGAGATGGTTTCACATAACTTGAACTGGATTTAAACAAAAATTTTGATGTATTTTATGGCTATGTATGTTGAAAAGTGTATCATAGACTTTTATAAAGATAGTGAATTATTAATAAATCAATAATATTATTGAAAATAGAAGTTTTTAATTATACTTTCAGATCTTTTAAGTAATTTATATAGTTGTCTTTTATATAACTATGTTGTGTTATCGTTTTTCTTGTAGGGAACAAATGGCGAAAGAAATTTCAGAATTTTTGAGTAGGTTAGTGTGGTGTAATTTTGGGAAATGTCACCTCAAAATCATATTTTTAAATTACTTTTCATTATTTGGACCAGAACCTGTTATGGGAATAGCCTACTCTTTGCATGTAAATTTTCTGTATAGGAAATGTCACTTAGCCCTCACGCCACTCTAACATAGAAAAAGATGAAAAACAGTGTTCCTCTAAATTGGTGTTTCTTCCCGGGGATACCGTTGCCATTTTTGATGTGACTTTTCCTTGCTGGTAGTACTGCCCTTCTTATCACTGGCCTCCACCAACTCGGTCTCAGTAGGGGAGCCTTGCCTCTCATTGTGACAAAATAATATTTTGAAACTCCTCCTGGGGGTGATGTTGCCTCCTGGTGGAGCCACTGTATCTGGTGGAAGGGGAGGTAGAGGAAGAGTGTGGCTCCTGAGCTCCTCGCACCATAGCACCATATAGAAACCACTGATGTAAAGATTGAGCCACCAGAGAATATAACTTTCAGCAGGATCTGGTCCATTACCTTCATAAGTGAATATGCATCAGTAGTATTTTATCTGTCAATTTCGAAGTTACAGAGTTAATTGAAAGTGTTAAAATTAATGTATTTTTTAAAATCAAAAGTCATATTTGCTACTGCCTTACTGTATTGTTTACGTGATTGTCTTTATAACAAGTCTAAATAATCAGTACATCACACCTTTATTTTACCATTTTAATAATTCCAGAGTTGGAGGGAAAAAGCATTTAAATGCATTTCAATTGTGTACTACTTAGGACGCTGAATATGTTTTTTAGCAGGTGTATTTTTGTTTAAGGTAATATGAATGAAAAGTTAGTGATATTAAAACCATATTTTAAGCAATAATAATTTGAATTCAGTGGTGTTATTTTGTAAAAGTATCAAAACACACCTTATGTATGTTGACACTTCATGTATATTCTGACAATCTGTGAAACTGTATGTTATGTCAATTCACTTTGTCTTTCAAAAAGAAAAGAAAACAACAGAAAACCCATAAGAATTTTGGGCTACTCTCCTAGAAAAGACTCTTAGAAGAGCTAGGAAAAAAGACCTTTTTTCTTTGGTTTATTGAATGGTAGTTTAGGGATGTAGAAAAGAAAAAAGGAATATTTGAATAAATGCTAAAACATAATATATTGTTAAGGGCAGTAGATGAGACCTTGCTGACACACAGCTGGCTCTTTCTGAGCAAAGCAGTTAAGGAGAAAAAGCTACATGGAAAATTGCCACTCACACAGCTTATGAAAAGTATAGATTCTGCAATAAACCTGTAAAAGATTTTAGCCATAAAAACGCAGGAAGGACCAAATGGCCACACATTATTCTTTAGCCAGGCTTATTTGTGATTAACAGTCATCCTGTCTCACAGTTTTTAAGTATGTAGGGTAGTATTTTTTATTCTTTAAAATGAAAGCATAGACAGGCCTTTACAGAGGCAGAAGTACCTTGTTTATTTCATTGTTCCACTTAATGTTGAAGGAATAACTTCTCTTGTTTCAGGAAGAAGGATGCGTGTTTTCACACATCATTTGTCAGTAACGTCAGTCTCATTAAGTGTTTGTGTCTTGACTGTTTGCTGAGATTGCTTTTACCCTTCAGAATATAAAACGATGAGAAAATAAGAGCTCATTTTCGGGTATTATACCTTGATTGTCCCTCTTGGAAATATTTCCCAAGTAGTGGATGATAAGGCAAAATTCCTTGTATGATACTTGAGAAGCCATGTTTTAGTTCTTTTGTATTTAGTTCTTCTAAGATGTGCACTGTTTTCTTTTCATGTCTTGAGATGTGATGTGTTTAAATTCTTCCTTTGTTACATTGAGCTTACAAGTCCACTTGCAGCTTATTCTGGGTGTCTGCTATGTGGCAGGTGTAACCTTTCACCGAAAAAATAATGTTCATTATTACAGAAAATAAATTGTTCCCATATTTTCTGAATAATTATTTCAAATTATGTGTATAGAAACAGGTCTTAAGCCCTGAGTAGCACTGCTATGAAAAAGTTGAATTTATCCTATTTTATTATTTATTATTTTATTTTTTATATTTTATATATATATATTTTAATTTTTATTTCTTTCCTCTTTCCCCACTCAAATGTTCCTACTACAATGGGCCAGATACAGCATTGTGCCTTTTGAAATCTCTGTTATCTGCCTCATGACCTAAAACCTCTTCGTTTAATTTACTGGTTGTCATATTATTGCTCACTAAATATGAAGGCGTGATTTTGTCTGGTTATAGAACTTTTCTAGGTGTTCTTTAACAGTGAGCTAGATAGTCCCAGGAGCTTTCAGGCTCCAGCAGCTCTTCTAGCCTGCCCTTACTGTTTGTTGTGGTGTGTTACGTTGGCCACTCACTTGTGGACCCTGTAAACGTCCAGATGCCCAGGAGATTCTGAGCCATAGGTATGGCTAGGGGTGGCCATCTGTAGTTTCCAGTAGTCTGCAGCTGATTGCACTGTGCAGCTAATGGCTCATAAACAAACCCTTAGTGTGCTTCTGATGATCTTTCAAGTATGTTGAAGATTTCTTTTTTGATTTTGAGGAATATATATCAATGAATTTTTTAACTTTAGTTGTTCATCTATCTGTCAGTTAGAACATTTAAACTGAAGTCAAGGAAAAGTCTGTGGTACCAGAATATTGGAATCAGAAGTTCTGATTGAAAACCTAATATAGCTATCAAATGGCACACTAAAAAATTTTGATTTACCTGGGCATCCTATACTACACCATTCTTAATCTCATCTGTCAAAGATACAAAAATTATTACATACGTTTTTCTATTAGTTGTTTCCAGTTCTCAAACTTATGCTCACCTTTTTGCCTGTTTAGTCAACATTTCGTTCATGTTTCTAGTTTAAATATGCAAAAATATGTAATAATTACAGAGGTCCTGCTGTACAAGCCACCAAGGCAGCTGCTGGTACCAAGAAGCATGATCTTAGTAAATGGAAATATGCAGAACTGCGTGACACCATCAATACGTCTTGCGGTGAGTGTGTGGAGAGAATGAGAAATAGGAGGGCTCCATAGCTGACAGGTAATAAAGTAAACACCTAGGCTGGGATGGGATTTTTTTTGCATATAAATTAGTTTAAGCCATTCTCTTTGTTACTCTCACCTTACAATGAAGACCTAGTTTACTCACAAAAGTAAAAGAAAAACACACTTAATAAATTAAATTCATTTAGCCTATCTCTTATCTAGGTCGGAGAGAAAAAACATAGAGAAATTATGCTTTGGAGTATGTTAATGACTGACGCCTCTAATGTTATTCATAAGAGTTAAATACTTATATATCAGAATCTTCTGGTCCATGAATGTAAAGTAAAAAATGGCAGTGCAGTCCTTTTTTAAAGCTATTTTTATTCCAACAGAACAGAGTAAAATACTATACCCAGAGGATCCAGAGTTGTGTTTTTGTTTACACTACAGTGTTTGAATTCAGGACACTGTGACCAGGAACTATATTGTCATAATTCTATAAAACTCCTCACCGTGTTCTTTGCCTCCCCAGTGAGCTTTATCTGCATATCACAAACAAAAAATGTGTTGCATGTAAATCTAGCTTGCATCTGAACACAGTGACTTTTGATTCTATTGTTGTGGCCTGTGACAAGTGACTTAACCTCTCTGATTCAAGTTCTTAATCTATAAAAAACCTATTTAGTCCAGGGGTCTTGTGTGGAGAAAATGATATAAGATACTAATAGTGCATAAGAAAATGCTCTGTCAATATAAAAGATAATATTACCATAACATGCTCATCTTTTAATGATTATCTTACTTTTGATTTTGTACTATTAATTTAACAATGAAAACTTTATGTATATAAATATATATATGTTTATGCCATAGAATCATTATGTTAGATAACTAAATTAGGGATGTTAATTTTTTTTTCTTTTTTGGGTCTTTCTATATAATCGATAGATATTGAGCTCCTGGCAGCTTGCAGAGAAGAATTTCATCGGCGACTTAAAGTGTATCATGCTTGGAAATCCAAGAACAAGAAGAGAAATACTGAAACAGAGCAGCGTGCCCCCAAGTCTGTTACTGATTATGGTAAAAACCAATCTGTACTTTTGAATGTTCTGAAGTATATGTTTATGAATACATGTAACTATACATAAGACATTTGGGTAAAATGTCCAGTATAAATTTTCTCCTACTGTGGAACTGTGATCCACTGAACCTAACACAACCATGGTAGCTTGTGTTTCCTAGCATTATTTCCATTAAATACATCTTTAAAGTCATATTTGTTAAGATGTATTGAATTTACTTGTTAAGATAAATTCTAGAGGTAAGAATATTCTTGTCTATACTGAAGAGGTTGTGCAATAAGGTTATAAAGACGTATTTGTTCCACATACCGCCATGCATTGTTTAATGATGGGAATACGTTCTAGAAATGTGTTGTTAGGTGATTTCATCGTTGTGTGAACATCGTAGAGTGTACTTACACAAACCTAGATGGCAGAGCCTACTTCACACCTAGGCTATGTGGTACTAATCTGTGGGACCACCATCATATATATTGTCCACTGTTGACCTAAATGGCCTCATGCAGCACAGGACTGTACACATACACACACATACATAAAGATTACGTGTAGAAATGTCAAGAGTACTATGAAAAAAAAGAAGAATGTTTACTGCAAACATTATTTTACAATACTATGAAAATAGAAGATGAGAATTAGTACCTTGGTTTAGACCAGAGTTTTACCTAGACCAGGATTTGATTTTTTTGACTGAGACCCTAAAAATGAATTTTGTTATGCAAAAGGCAAAGTTGTATGCTTGAAATTGGAAAAATAAAGCAGGATAGATGTAACCTAGTAAAAAGCATATACTGGCTTTAACATTAATTGAGAATACCTGTGATATAGGAGTTGTAATTTCAGTCTTAAAAGCAATAATTAGAATTTCATTTGTTCAATTTGCTGCTTTTGAACTGGCACACTTCGTTAGCTGAATTCTGGTTAACGTCACGGTGACAGCTTATTTAATGTCTTTCTTTTTTCCGCAACACTTGATAGTATATTTAGCAATGCATGACCCAAGTTGACTTAGAAAATTTTTGAGCTCTTGGTTACATTTTGCCTCCCTCACCACCTTCCTAGCAAATAAAAGCAATGTTTGATTCAGGTCAGTTAAATGGTGGAATTTTAGTGTTTCTACGTTGTTGCAAAGAATAGATTGAGTGAGGGAAGTATTATTAGTAAGGGAGATGTTAGTGCTAATGATTGCTCCAGGGGTGCTGTCAGTTAGGATCTGACTCTGGAATGGCAGTGAGAGATCACCCGGAACTAAGAAATGGCTGGTCGAAGGCCTTCTAAACATCGTTCTTCTTGTGGCCACCACTGTCTTCTCTAGCTTACAAATTAGTCTTTGGGAATTGAAGATGACAGGATGATTCCATCATCTGCTGTTCCCTGTCTGTGCCAAGTGTCTAACCACAGTTACCTTTGTTTTGTAAAAATGACAATAGGTTATCCTTTTTAGCTGTAATGTTCTAATCATGACCTTTAGGTGATAGGTTTTCATTATGTTTTATTTCAAAAGTTACACATCTGAATGCTTGCACTTCTTAAACAGAAATTAATGTTGTAGTATTTGGCACACACATTTTTAATGAATAAACAAATATTTCTTGTATTTTAAACCAAACTTGGATACTTTACTCATCCAACTTTGCCCCAAAAGGAGCAAATAATACATGGCTTACCTTGCTGGTTCTTATTCTGTTTCCATTCATAATATACTATTTGGAAGAATAAAAGCATAGGTTAAAATTTTCCGAGAGTCCCATCCAGGTATATGAACAAATTGAGGAGTTTTTTGTGAACACACTCCACATATACGTGGCCTTCAAAGAATTTGATTATGGGCCATTTTCAGGATAAAATGTAACTTCTGCTTTGAAAAGTTCTTTCTTATTTTTCTCTTTATTTTTTCTTCATGTAAAATTCATTCTGACCCAGGAATACAGTTAAAAGGAAAGGTGAAGGGCACCAAGATGCTTAACAGCTCAATTGAGAAAATTCTGTACTTTGATGGTTTCCTAATGGGGCAGCTAATCAACCTTTAAAAGGAACTGCTCTGTAGGTTAATATTTAGAAGGATTAGAATTCATTAATTTGAGAAAAAATGATGACAACTTATGATTAACAAAAGTATAACTCGATATTATTGCCTTTAAGAGTAATATATTGACACATTGTGGTGAATCCCTGTAATTAGGAGTCGGGAGCCTCAGGCCCTCTAACTCTGTGCTGTTCTAGATGACCACAGTCACATCACATTTACTATACAGAAAGACATTTTCAGAAATAATTTTTGGGGCAGTGGCAAATTACCCAGTAAAGATTTATAATATGTAGTTGCTTAAAACAGTGATTTTGGAGAGTGGTTTTATTTTATAGTTCCTAAAATAAAAATGGCATGAGTTTAAGACTTAGACAATTTGAAGAATTTAAAACTGAGTGTATGTAAACGTGGCAATGCTTTTTCTCTAATGCGTATAATTTTTTGGTGAATTTAGAAGTTATTCTCTTTTTTTCTACAAAAGATTCTAGTAATGCTTTAAAGGTACTACAATGTTTATTATTAAGTCATCGTTTTGGATTTTTGTTTGGATATAACTGTATCTCAAAATTACAAATGAAATACAATTTTTAAATTTTGGTCCTCTTTATATGTCCAGTAAGAAGAATTTTCTAAAACATAATCAAAATAGCTTTTTTTTTTTTTTTTAAAGAGAATCAGAAAGCAGCATCTACTTGTAGGTAATTCTAGTAGTATTTGGCTATGGATAAGATATGTACCTGTTAGTCACCACCTCAAATGATGGGAAGGCTTTACAAATTAGAAGAATGCTCATTTAACAGTTTTGGCATTTTATCTTTTCTTCAACATAAAATATTTGTTCACAGATTTTGCACCATTTTTGAACAATTCACGTAAGTCAATGGGTGGTAACTCATGAGCTAACTGGAAGATGGGTTAAAAATACTTTATAAAAGTACTAACTCCTGTTAAACATTGTTTTGCTACGATTTTAAATGGAATTGTAGTACATTAATGTTGGTTTATCTGTACTGAGGTATTTAATTTGAGATGATGCTTTCATTTGGATCACTCCAAAATATATATGCAAAACAAAATTTAATTTATTGTTTTATCAAATTAATTCCTTAAAAAAAAAATAACTAGAGGGGCCCGCCTGGTGGCGTAGTGGTTAGGTTCGCACACTCCACTTTGGTGGCCCAGGGTTCACAGGTTCAGATCCCGGGCATGGACCTATGCACTGCTTATCAAGCCATGCTGTGGCAGGTGTCCCACATATAAAGTAGAGGAAGATGGGCACAGATGTTGGCCCAGGGCCAGTCTTCCTCAGCAAAAAGAGGAGGATTGGTGGCAGATGTTAGTTCTGGGCTAACCTTCCTCACCAAAAAAAAACCCAGAAAAAACCCACTAGCATTTTAAACTGTGCGTATACACAATTCGTATTGTAGCAAAACTCTATCTTAATAAGCAGCTGATCTTTTAGAATAAATACTAACTTTAGGTGCTGGTTTTGAACACTGTGATGGTATAAGCATTTCTCCAAAAAGATTTGAATTTTGTATGGGAATGTTCAGAGGTTTCATAGGAAAAGGAGATTACTCTGTTACTTTATCACTTCCTATGATGCACGTTTTTAAATAATTTAAAAGCTTTGAGTTATCTTAGTGTACAGTAAATTTCTTCTAGAATCAGTTAAACAATAATGATTTGGATATAATGCCATATTTATTTGCCAACTGGTTGGACTTGATTTTTTTTTTTAAGTGCTTTTAGTAATTTATAAGGTTACATTTGAAACTTATTTCACAGTTTTGGAGATAACACAGTTGGATGTGAAACAAAGTTGTTTAGAAGATTAGTCTCAAGCTTTTAACATCTGTATCTTTGTACTTTTCCAGATGGATATTCATTTCCAGGCTTCCCTAATACAATTTCAGTTCTCACATTAGTAGAGAAAGCTATCAAAGACTTTCCATTGGGTTTCTTAATTTTACCCAATATATTAAGTTACAGGAGACTGTTACTTCAAAAGCAAAAAGTAGGTTAATTTAATAGGTAGCCATCAGTATGGTAGTAAGTTTCCTATCAAGTGGTCATTGAATTCTAATTCACTGCTTCAGATGGAGGGGAGGGTTTTTTATCCTTTTAAAATGTCTTAGTGTGGAGTTAGTGTATTTTTTGTCAAGTAGGTAATTTTTAAACTTAAAATGGAAACACTGAACTGTAAGTAGTTTTGGGGGAACAAGAACAGGAGAATAAAGAAGCTTGTCTCTGTTAACATGCTAAAGGGATACACTTTCTAGGTCACTAACAGAGCGGCCTCTCCATCCTTTCACAGGCGTATGTGGCTTTGCTAACTGCTCTTTGCTTCCTCTGGTTTGCACGGAAATAAATTCAGCTGCTATAAAGCTTTTGCTGTTGGTGTAAAAAGTAGAATAAGAGTATTTCATCCTTTCAGTATTTGGAAATTCTTACAAAGGCTGCGGGACTGTTCTTGACTTATACATATTATATAATATTTCTGTGACATACTTAGCTTTTTAGTGAGATTCTTAATTGAGTTGCAATAAATGGTTGGTCCACTTTTAATGTTGTGAGTATAAAGCATATTCAACAGACTTACCAAAATTATGCTGCTGAAGATGTCAAGTCATTGCCCCATAGAAAGGTTTATATTTGCATATATAATAAAAATCTAACTGTTTAGTAATGAAAATAGAGCAAGGGAGGAAAGATTGATAGGAGTGCAATGCCCAGTATTAGCAGAAAAGCAAGAATTTTTCTTTTCTGTTGGCAAAGAGAACCAGATATTATACACTTTCCACTTATTTCAGTGGATTTTATTCCAAGAGAAATCTGATTTCAGAGTAAGTCAATATCTCTGAGGGAAAGTTCATGCTTACTGTTACAGTTTTTTTGTTGTCATGAGGCTGTCTAAATATTATTAGTAAAATATCTGTGCTGTCTTGGCCATTTGAAATTCCAGAATCAGTTGGCAAAGAGAAAACTTATATGTGGTTCACTTTTTTGAACTTTTTTGAGGAAATTGTGATTAAATTGACAGATATCTATAATCCTTTAGATTTGTGAAATTACTATTTGCTGTATCATAAATTGTCCCATTAAAGTTATTCTGCAGCCTTCGTTTGAACTCTTTGGAGGAAAAATATAATCTAGTCAATAATACTAGTTTGCTTTCCTGCCATGTGAGTTTATTTTAGGTTACTGATACAGTCATTTGGAGGAATCTGCCAGGGGTTGGTGCTTGGTGGTGGTGGTTTGTGTATGTGTGCGTGTTTGCAATGCCAAGGAACATCTTCAGGGGGAGAAAATTCTCAGACGTCACACTCTGAATTGTATTCATTTATAGGCAATTAATATTTACATTTTGTTGTAAATTTTCTCTTAGGAACCTCTTTTCTTCTTCTTTTTTTCTTTCTTTACATTTGTGGTGCATTTTAGGGTTAAGGGCTGTTTTTTGTCATCCCCTGGGCTGCTGGTGTGACTTTGCTTGCTCTGTGTGACAGCTCAGCAGAACCCAGCGGCGCAGCTTCCTGCCAGGCAGCAGGAGATCGAAATGAACCGGCGGCAGCGCTTCTTCCGCATCCCGTTCATCCGCCCCGCTGACCAGTACAAAGACCCACAGAGTAAGAAGAAAGGCTGGTGGTATGCCCATTTCGATGGACCGTGGATTGCCCGGCAAATGGAACTCCATCCTGACAAGCCACCCATCCTTCTTGTGGCTGGTGTGTATGATTCACATGAAAAAAAATTTATAAAGCAAACAAAGGATTATAAACCCTCTGAGTGAAACAATCTAATATAGAGTGTAATAATTCATGAAATTTCAGGGTTGAGGGATGGAGTTTTGCAGTTAAATCACATTTCCAATTAATTGAGAATTAACTTATTTACAATGTGAAATTGCTTGGATTAATTATGTCCTTGTAAAGCACACAGAAATTTGTCTGTGTCCTAAGAACCTTCCATTGGTGTTTAATTATATCAGTTGATTTGCAGTGGTGTTAGGAAATGCAGCATTTTCATTAACCCTGATAACTTCTTTCATCAACTGCGGTGTTAATACATTTTGGAAGGATCCTTGGTGGAGGATAAATTTAAGTTGTTTCTGGTGAATTTATTAAGAAGATCTCAATCTTAGAGGAAGAAAATAGAGTTTTAAAAGTTCTCAAATCTATGGGAATTGATAGATATTTCACAAATAAAGTTTATAATAAATGGTTCTGAAAAGAGATATGGTAATTCTCTGATGTCTCTTCTGTCAGGTAAGGATGACATGGAGATGTGTGAGCTGAATCTTGAAGAGACAGGCCTGACTCGAAAGCGTGGTGCTGAGATTTTGCCAAGACAGTTTGAAGAAATTTGGGAACGCTGTGGAGGCATCCAGTACCTTCAGAATGCAATGGAGAGCAGACAGGCTCGGCCCACGTCTGCAACGGCCATGCTTCAGAGTCTGCTGAAGTAGCTATCCACACTGACCACGCAGCCAGGAGCCCCGCCGTGACGCTGGGGCGGGTGTGCCCCAGAGACGTGACCGCTCCACGGTCGTCTTAGAGTTACCTTTGCAAAGGAGCAGATTGTATTCATCAATGGCTTTTTGTTAATCTAAGGTTAATTATGGTAGTGAATTTGGGATCTAAAATTATTTTCCTGTATCCAGCTGTAACTGGTAAACCTCTTACTACTCTAATACGTGTTCCACTTGGACAGATTCTGATATTTCTCATCCTTTGCCAACAGACTACCTTAAATCCATCATAATTGTTTAAAAATTCAAAATACTTGCTACTTAAGATGACACAGTACCATATAATTGGAATAATGAAACCTTAGCTAAAATTTTCTTAAAAAAATTAAGGCACTTAAAATGATCAAGGTACTGATGTTTTGATCTGAAAAGCTGTGTACTTTTTTTACTCACTTTTCCAGAAATTCATGGAAATTCCCTCAAAGGTGGAAATTTTTATCCCCCCCCCCCCCAGCTTTGCAGCGTGTCTTAGTTTGAGTAAAGGAGTTTGCCTGAAGTTCTAGAATTCTAGAAAGAGTCTTAATGTATGTGATGTACTCCATGATAAGGAAGGGACCCACAGTATCCTGCATGGATTCATTTTTCTTTTCTATCACATTGTGTTGCTAAAAGACTGTTTTTCTTATATTTCATGGACAAATAAAGGAAATTCAGACCATTTAAATGCATAAATGTTTTCAGATAATGTTTGTTTCATTTAGAAAAGGAAATAGGTTTTAGGTGGCTCTGTGGCTTAACTGGACTGAATTCAAACATTCTTTCAGCTTCATCTCAATTGCAATTTTTGTATCAGAATCTTGTCTAAGTTGTTTCATATGATTTAAGTTAGTGTTCTGCTTCAAAACATCTTCGTTTTTAAAAAATTCCGAGTGTCCTTTTTGGCCTTTGAGATTTTGCTAATTGTAGAACTGTTTTATCAGCTTTGTAATTTAAAAGCCCTTGTACTTAGTAATTACTTGTTTCATGTAACTGATGATTTAAAAAAAATAGTTTGCTTTGTGTGCTGTTGGTTTTGACCCAGTGTCAGCAGTTTCAAGCCTAATGTCTGTGACTTCTGTATTAGGGATTTGGAGACGAGAATACATCAAGGAGTTATGTTGACATAATCCTAAGGAGTCTTGTTTGTATTTTAGAATAAAATTAGAAAATAAAATTATTCTCTGTACTTTTTCTTCCTGATTTTTAAAGACCCTAACCTTTGAAATAAATTTCCAGTGATTTTTTTTCTAGAAAGAGTACCTCAGGAAAATATTTCCCAGCTGATTAGATTAGTGTTTGTGAGCCACAGACACTGTTTTCAGAATTGCCTCTCTCATAATATGTGTCTTAGTACAGAAATATTTATTATGATACTGTGCGAATGATTGTCTTCTGTTAAATTAAATGGGTCCTGTCTATGCTATTGAGAATGCGAACGTGATTGCCTTTTGAAGGCTGTGTTACTGCATAGACTCCCCCACCCTTGGGTCATTTGGTCCCTGTGATTGTTGACCGAAGGTCTGGTTACTGAAATAAATGACTGTTCTCTCTCTCTTCTCATCACTTGCCTTTAATTGGTGTTTTTATTTGTATAGGATAATGAAAGATAAGCTTTCTTAACTAGTAACAAGTAAAGTCCTTGGAGAAAATAGAGTAACCAAATAGATTTTTAATGACTTGTCCCTTTAGTACTGTTTCTAGAAACAGTTTTATGTATCTCTTAAGTACGTATAGGCACTAGATGGAAAACTAATCAAACAGGTTGAAATTATTGTAGTGAGAGAACTTAACATTTTGAAGAATTTGTAGAAATATATCACAGCAAAGCATTGGTGTAAGTCTTTAGTTTTTTTTTTTTTTTTTTTTTTTTTTTTAAAATTTTTTTTTTTTTTTTTTTTCCCCCCAAACCCCCAGTAGACAGTTGTGTGTCACAGCTGCACATCCTTCCAGCTGCTGTATGTGGGACGCGGCCTCAGCATGGCCGGAGAAGCAGCGCGCCGGTGGGAGCCCGGGATCCGAACCCGGGTCGCCAGCAGTGGAGCGCGCTCACTCAACCACCAAGCCACGGGGCCGGCCCAGTCTTTAGTTTTTTACTTGAATAGCTCATAAATATAGTCTTAAGCCCTGTTGTTGCTAATTATGTCACACAGCTGTCCTAGAACTTATCTGTTTAAAGTAGTCTCCAGAGTTAATTTTGGCTCCTAGGAGAACTGCCCTGATTCAGATAGACATAAGTAACCCACATACAATAGATGCGCGTACGTACAGAAGCCCCTTTGCTGAAGCACTTAGGACGCTGTCAGCCTTTAAGAGAAATAGCAGAAACAGTGTTCTAAAAGATATTGATGGGCCTGCTTTACATGTTCACAATCAAACCCGTAAACTGGATGAAAACTGTAGGACTCAAAAGTAAATTCATATTTTAATCAGTCATTGTAATTGAGATTTAAACTTAGAAGTAAACCAGCAGATTGTATGGTAAGAACTAATCTCAGTCCACACCAGCTCCTTCCTTAGTGTATGCTTTGCAAAGGTGGATGTATATAAAATAAAAATGAGAAGACAAAATGTTTTCACATTCAATGCAATTATAATGTAATTCCTAATTCCACTAATACATCTGTATTATGAGCTGTGGGTATGCTCCGAGAGAAAGTTTCTCTGACACACATGTGTCAGGAGAACACGGAGTTTTCTTAGTTGTGAAGATGAGTAGAAGGCACCTTCTCAGAGGATTATGAGGAAGAAATAAAATAATGCACGTAGGAGCACAAGCCCACACAAAAGACAGTCTGTCGTGCCTCGCCTGCTGTTAATACTGACTTTTCATAGGTCCTTCTGTCCCAAAACATCGTGAGCCCTTTTGTTTTGCAAGCAACCAAGAAAAGATCATCTTAAGTGGAAAATGGGTGGTGTTTGTGGAAGCTTAGATAAAGAATAGAACCCACAGGCAAGAAGATTAATAAGGGTTTATTGTTTGTACAGTTTTATTAGTTGGATTCTTTAAAAAGATGTTTTCATTCACAAGTTATTATTATGGTTCTCAGGGTATCCAAATATGTAGAACTTTGGTTTCTGTACCTGAAATACGGTAAGAGTTCTTGGATCAATAGAGTAAATATTTATTGAATGGATCCACAAGTGAATTAATACAATGTTGGTGGTAGACCTACCTCCTTTTAAACATGAGATAACAGAGATCCAGAGAGGTCAAGTAATCTAGTTCTGGACCGTGGAAGAGATGTAAATGCCTTTGCTTCAATCATGCGGAGCAAAAAGAATTGAAACTAACTTTTTTGAGTAGCCCCCTGAGGGTTTACAAGGGTTGCCTCTCTGTCATTCCATATCTTCAGGTGTGACAGATTTTCTCTATCATTCTCTATCACAACAAGTATTGAGAGTTTTAATTTCTCTCAGAAGATAAACTAACAAGGGGAGGGCAGAAGATGTCAAAAAATTAGAATAAGGACAAGTCAAGGGGAAAAGTTATAACAATAAGGAAAGAGAAGAGCCGTGATGGAAAAGAAAGAAAATGGGTGGGGGGCCCGGTGGTGTAGTGGTTAAGTTCGCACACTCTGCTTCGGCGGTCTGGGGTTCACAGGTTCGGATCCCGGGTGTGGACCTGTGCACCACTTACCAAGCCATGCTGTGGCAGGCATCTCACACACAAAGTAGAGGAAGATGGGCACCGATGTTAGCCCAGGGCCAACCTTCCTCAGCAGAAAGAGGAGAATTGGCAACAGATGTTAGCCCAGGGCTAATCTTCCTCACCAAAAAGAAAAAAAAGAAAAGGGGTGTGCCCTCAAGACTCTATACCCCCAGGTTGAAAAACACTGACACATTTTAGGGAACAAAGCACTGCTAGATCTTCAGGAAGTTTTAGAATGAATTGTATGTAATGTAAGAGCAGAACCTATGGTTATTAAAACTTGGATCAAGATAGAGCTGATGTGTAAATCCTTAGCATATAGAAATGGCACTGTCGCACTGGAGAAGGCCAGCGAGAAGTCGACCTTCTGTGCATCAGCCTTGCGGAGGGCAGAGCGGAGACACTTGCAGAGGTAGAGCCTACACTGCAGGGCCCCGATCTTTGAGTACAGTTAAGGTCAATGCAAATCAATATAGTCTTACTTCCCCATCACTAAGTTAATATATGAAGTAAGTTTGGTTAGTTTTGAAGAGATAATCAGGAAAGAAATGCACATCAAAAAGAGAATCTTTAGTCCTAATTTGTACCTGTGCAGAATCTCACCTTCAAACCTCAAATAGGCTTATTGAATGGCCATTTTCTTTTCACTTTTGAGAATTTGTCTAATTGCAACTGTTACTAAATTTTCCCTCATTTCCTTAAAAATGTATCCTTTCTAAAATAATGATGTACTGGAAATACAAATAGTAAATGCTTTCTATGTAGAACTTCCTCTTGCATCTTGTACTTTTAATACAGTTACAGGGTATTATAAACAAAAACAGTTGTAAATGTTGCGCTTGTGGCCCCATGTCTCAGATGGAACAGTTGGAGAAGTTTGGGATCCTGAAACTTCCCCTAATCACCAGGGCTGGAAGCGCTGTCCAGGTGGCGGTAGGAAGAGGCGAGGATGCAGGTGATTGAAACTTCTTGAACTTTGGCCACAAACTCCTGAGGGACTTCCGTCCAGGGAGCAAGCAAGACTGCATGTGAGCTGCGACTACTCTCTTTGCCTAGATTAGAGAAAAACCACATCTTGGCTGCCTTTCCTCAGGCCCGATCTGTTTGTGAGAAGACATAGGATGTAAAGACTGGGGACCCAAAGAGAGTCCTTCTCCCTAAGGCTTGGAATACAGCTGGCCTAGTGAGTCTACCTCATGCCCCTCATCTGGAACCTGCCGTGATCCTGGTGGGTCTTCTGAGAGTGCAGAGACTCGGGCTGTGTTACCTCAACAGCTCTTCTCTGGCTGGTTGGAAAAGACCAACCCCA